AGTGATACAGTTGAATGGCACAAATCAACTCTTCTTTCGAAAGAAAGACAGACCCCAAAGATAATTCTATATTGTTCGAGGGTAAGTGGATGGGTTGTCTATCTGATCCAGTTGTCGTGGGCAGCATAGGAAGGGACCACATTCGTGGCTCAACGTCGGATTGTCGGGTGCTACCTCGATTCATATATGCAAGACATTCAACCTCAATATGGTCGGTGATTAATCTTAGCTCTTCAATATGCTCGCTATACCACGCCCTGAAAAGCTTAAACATTTGCTTCTCATGTACTTCTTTGTCTTCGTCGCCTGAGTCACCATTGTGCGTGTTGGTTTGATCATCATTATTGTCATCATCACGAGAATGACCTGGTTGGTTCGAACAACCTGCGGTTTGATCATCAGCGCCCCGAGGATATCCAGTATGTGTAACTGAACTAGGGCCTGCTTGATGTAAATATGGGGCCTCGTGGGAAAATGCAGAACTACCAACACCAAAAGAACTCGGAAATACACCTTGGGACGCCATCATTTGCGTGAAGCTTTGTTGCGCCGTCCCAGGAACACCTACATTTACTCACTTCTCCAACTCCACGTAAATGTTGAGAGTTTTTTGTTCTTCAATCAGCTCTAAGATATCCTCACTGGATTCAATTTTCATCTTCACTTTTCGTTCCCTTCCATCAAATACTGCCCACAATAAGTACTCAAAATTACAAGGATCGGCCTTCAATAATGCTTGAACACGAGAAACTACTTCAGAATACATTTGTCGGCCGTAATTTATTCTCATCAGCTCTGCCACTCTACCAAGATATGAACCCCCGGAAAACATACCACCATAGCTCACGCATACTCCAACACGGGTGCTAGCCATTCAAATAAGTGAACAACAAAAGGAATTAAAACGAAAGAAACAGAAAATTGCAGTAGAGAAGAATGGTGCAGACGTTGAATTGTTAGAGATCACTGTTTTTTGCCTGCATGATAAATGCACAGACAAAATCCTCACCTGTAAAAAAGCAGTCAATTAATGAGGTGCGTAACTTATGCGACAGATATGCGATCAAATTCTGAATAGTCGTAAAATTTCCATGACGATATGGCCCTGCGAAAAAATGGCGCGTTATCGTGAATGAAATTATGCTTGATTCGATTTTGTTATGAGATTCTTCAATATGCGAGGGAAAAAATGTCGCATCATTGTCAATTATCCGGCGGATATATGCGAAAGTTTTTCGTATACAAGTAAATTATGCGATTGACTTGGATATGCAATTTCTAGAAAATGCGAATTCAACAAATAATGCGAATGATATGCGAAACGTTTTCGCACAGTCATAAATTTGCAAGGTCGATATAGCCCTGCGAAATAAGGCGCATGATCATCGTAAATTATGCTGCATTCGATTTTGATCTGCGATTCTTAAAACTGCGAAAGATATTCGCATATTTGTAAATTATGCGTTTGATGTGGATATGCGATTACAAAAATGCGAAATGTTTTCGCATAGTCATAAATTATGCGTTCGCTTGGATATGCGCTGGTTCATTTTTGGACATGCGACTGTAATATCGCATAGCATTTCGTGAGTTTTGGGGAGTAAAAGAAGTTATTTCATGGGGCGGTGTGTAAAAGAAAGAATAGATTTATAATGGGGTGTAAAAGATTTTGACCCTTAATCTTATTTGTTCTACGTGATCGTCTGCTTTTACTTGCTTTATTTTAATTCTCGCAGTAGTCGTTAATTTAAAAACCAACCAAACTTTGATTTAGAATGTTTAAGATTTTTATTTCTTTTATTTTCCCTTTTTGTGTTTGAATAAACGCGCATTATATTCCGGCTAACCTTCCTCAAGAGACACGACCCGGTGTTGAATCTTTTGATTCTACTCCGGAAAAAATATTTACAACAATATCTTAAGTGTAGAATATTAGAAATTTCTTCAAGTTATACGTGTATTAAGCGTGTTTATGTGTTAAGATTAACACTCGAGTTGACCAAGCTATTGACATTCAAATGAGCTGAAATTTTAATAGGAAATACCTGAGTGTGTAAACTATTTAACTGCCAAGTTTCAGAATTTTTAAAGCTTTTTGAGTGATTTTTGAAAAATCTTGAAGCCTCGAAGCTCGTTTAGCTCGATTTAAGTTGATTTAAATGATGAACTTATACATGGTTGAAGTCATTGGTATCTAAAGTATAGTATGAGTGGGTTGATTGGAATTAGTCATCGAAGTCCGGCGATTAGGCCGGTTCGAGCCAGGTAAAGCTATACTGAAATTTTTTATTTTCGAGCTTCAGTCAGATTTTATCCGGAAACTCAAGATAAGTCCAGTATAGCTGGGAAACCAATTTTAGTCTTATTTGTTTATTTGTTCTTATATGCTCTACTTGTATGATTATATCTAATATCTGTTGTGTCTGCCTTATCTACTTTGCTTGCCTATTTGCTTGTCTTTGAGTGTTAAGATTCGAGATCCGTAGTTTCAGTCGAGCAAATTACTTAGCAATATTTGCTTGATTATTTTGGTAGCTTGAGGAGAGTCGAGCCTCTGTCAACTACATCAGTCTTTTCAACACACAGTTAATCAGCTTATCAGGTGGGGGCCCCGTACTTGGTATATCATTGCTTATAATCGTTTACCATGTCTGAGGTATGTATGTAGAGATAAAGTATTTGCCCAAGGGAAACGACTCCCAAGGGGGATCCTTGCAACTACTTAACGCGTGAGGTTGGGAATTTCTAAGATCACCATCTAGGTTCTAGGTCGTCCCAAGGACACCCAGAGTGTGCACATGATTACCGGACAAGGCCGGATTTTGTAGCTCCCATTATTTTTAGATTAGTTATTTTCGTATATACTTATTTCATGATGGTTTATTATATGTGATGTATATTCAGTGTCGGCTTTTGCGGAGCACCGTGGTTTTTTGTGCTCATGCCCCTACTATCTTATCTTTTTAGGTGATGGACTACAGCGTGGCGCGTAAGTAGCTCTAGGTGGTGTGGTGGTCCGAGCATGTGGACATTTTTTTATATTGTTATGTAATAAGTTTAATTTCAGACTGTTCAGACTGATATACTTTAATTTTAGGTTTTGCATGCGAGATTTTTCAGATATTAAGTATGCATGTAAAATCTCGCCCTGATCCCGCGAGGGGATTCATTTTATTTTACTAGGCAACATGCTTAAAGTTAGTTCCAGTTATTTAGTATGCATGTAGAATACCACCATCGATCTCACAAGGGAATCCACTTCCTTATATTAGACGACATGCATAAAGCTAAAGAACATATAGCCATTTAGTTTTAGCACTCCCACATTAAGTAAAGTGTTTTCAAAAATCAAGTCAGGGTTTTCGAAACTAAAATGCAAAAATTTTACTCCGTTATTCACAAGTTTAAGTATATAGAAGGCGGGGTGTTACAGTTGTGTATCAGAGAACAACTAACTTTTCTGTACACCTAAAAGTTAGAAAAGCGACCACACCACGCTCACGCTCGCGCCGACTCCAAGTTATGTCACATGAACCAGTCTTTATTTTTGCAAGTGCATAATCAGTTCAATATGAGAACTTATAGGGCTTGGAAAACTATCATCCGACAAAAAAAAAGAAAACTCTAGACAGAACTCTAGAAAGAGCTAAGTCCGAGGACCCTAGACTAAATCAGAACTCCAGTTTGAACTAGAACTCTAGACAAGCTATGTTGTATTTTCGATGACTCGTCAAGAAATTTGTAAAGCATTGAGTAGTTAATACTCCATCTCTTTTGCCAACTCCTTCATATGCTAACCCTGTCAACTGGCCAGACAGATGGCCCCTCGCAGAGAAGTCCAGTCCCGGCTATAGTAGCCCCTCATGTAGCACCAGAGCCTGATCAGGGGCAAAGAATTGCACAGTTTCGCGGGTTCCAACCAGCGACTTTCAATGGGTAGGGAGATCTGAAGATGGTGGAGAAGTGGCTATGTAACCTTATATGATCTTTAAGGTCATGGGTTGCCCAATCCACTAAGGATTATGTGTCTGCAGCTACAGTTTACGAATAACGCGGGACTCTTGTGGACAGCCTACTGGGCAATGAGGCGTGGGGAGAATTCTTAGCACCTAATCATACAAGATTATTGGGTTTATTTATCTCTCTTGTGTTTATTTCTATTGGTTTCAAAGTGGATGATGTGGATAAAATATGGCTAATGAAATTTTTTGAATTCTTGTTGAGGAAATCCATTAGTATGTGGAGTGGATAGTTATATAAATTGCTTGTTTACAATGAGGAGTGAAAAGCAAAGAGATAGCGGAAACTCAAGTCGTCATGTACTAACAGGAAATGGATTTTTTTTTATCTTGTCTGATGTAGTTGTGCATCCGGTGACATTAATGGAAATGACTGTCTACTATCCTATTTAGTTGCATTTGATGTGTTTCCATGTGACCTCAGTGACAGGTTAAAGCGATCGAGCTGTTCAGATGTCCAAAATCTACCATGACTAAGGCTTTCGGCCTAGTGGTCGTCTATTCGAATGGTCCAGTAAACAGGCCGAACAGACGCTAATGGGTGGCCCTGATGCCTAAAAATCCACCATGACTAAGGTCTTCAAGCTAGGTGGTCGTCTCTTCAAACTGTCACATGAGCAGGCCAGGCAGATGCTAATGGGTGGCACCGAGGCCTAAAAATACACCATGACTAAGGCCTTCGGGATGGGTGGTAGCTTGTTTTAAACAATCCTAGAGGTGGGTTGGACAAATGTTCAAGACTAAAATCCACCATGACCAAGGTGTTGGGATCTGTGAGGATCTTGTTATGTACACGTCACGAATTCAATAACAACAATAAACTTATGCGCAACAGATCTAGAGATTTAGAATTGAATACTTACGGCTTAAAATTCGAATACTCTGAGACGTTGTAGATTACCGTTGTAGAAAATCTTCTGGTTGCAAAATGTGTTGGGCAGCTGGATCCTTCTTGTCGGACTCAAGAAGTTTTCGGGTGCGATGGTCGAGAGCAGATCGTGCGCCGCGTCGATTCGTCAGTGTCGCGCGGAGAGCGAGGGAGGTAGACAACGTCGGGGCATCGCAGTCAGGCTGCATGCAGTGGTCGCCGGGGCTGTGGGATCATCGCGGCTGCGTGCGTATGAGTTGCAGCGTCTCGCGGTGGCATCTGTGCATGTGGGTTGCGTACATGCATGCTGCGGCTTGCGGCGGTCGACGTCTGTTGGCGGTGGTGGTTGGCTGATAGTCACGGGGTTAATAGCCGATTGATGATCACGGGGTGTCGGTACCTCGGGATCTTCTACTTATATCTCAAACACCTATTTGAATTATACTGGCAGAACTACAAAACGAAGATAAAGCTCGACTATGGGAACTAGAGAGAGGGGGCGACCAACGTTTCACACGTTAGGTTTGGTATGTCTCTCGATCCCATGAGCTTAATGATGCATATATAGAGCTACAGTAAGGATCCTAACGAGATGAAGACTAGTGCTTCTTAAGTATTGGGCCTACTTGTGAGCCAAGCCCACTCTTGCCAATAATTAAATAAGGTTTCGGTCTACTAACGAAAACATTAGTGACCTCTTTTATCCTCCCCAAAATTATATTTGAGACTCCAATTATAATTACTCCAATTACCCCCTATATTTAAGATATAATGTTTATTTTATTATTATTATGCCGGAATTTAATACAACTTTAGGGTTAAGCACAACAATCCTTCATGAACTTACTTCGAGGACATCATCGAACTGTCGAACATGGTGACCGTAAATATCCTAACAGCCCATCATACATATAATAGTATTACCCAAAACATCAAGTATGTCGACTTAGTAAACTGAATATCACTTAAGTGAATCAAAGTAATAATTACTATATGTACAAGCCTGTTTATATCTTACGAGTTAGGAGAACGTAGTAATTAACCGAGACTTAAGTTTGTTCACGACGATCAGTATAAAACAAACTGTTACTCTCTGGGATCCTGTTTAATACATAAATATACTAGTGCAACTAATCAATCAAGACCAACCATATAGTTGACACTACAACCGTTCCGATGGTTTGTTCATTTCCATCTAGGTTGTGAAGCAATATTTCTTTTTTTGCAAGTAACTGATAAAATGATCTCCAGTTCACCCGATAATGAACCATTTTATATATGTGAAAAACAACATAACATAGAACTTGTTTAATTAAACATGATTATTATTCAACAAAGATAAAATATAATATCATCCAAAGTCAAGCTTTCAGTATATAACATCTACAATCTCTCACTTATATTTAAAGCTTCCACTTTTACAAGCATAGTCCTATCAATTTGTTATTCTAAAAGACTTATGTCAATCCTATGCCCATGCATCTGACTCTTATTCCTTCCACGTGTTTGACGAAAACCTTTCCCGACAAACTCTTCGTGAAAGGATCAACTAGGTTGTCCTCTGATGCAATCTTGGCAACCTCGACGTCTCCTTTTCCAACGATATCTCGTATCAGGGTGTACTTGCGCTCTGTGTGCTTGCTTGTTCCGTGGGCTCGTGGTTTCCTTGAGTTTGCTAGTGCTCCACTGTTATCACAGCATATGGTGATACTTTGGGGCAAACTCGAAATCACCTCTAAGTCCATTTAGAAGTTTCTAAGTCAAACTGCCTCTTTCGATGCACCAAAGGCCGCAATAGCTCGAGCAACCCTAAACTTTTCTAAGAATTTTGAGAGCTTAGTTTGATTTTTGTTTCATAATTTTAGTCAAACTTTTAGTTCATGTACTTATGTATTGAAAGTTGGACACTACACTTTTACATTTGTCTACAGCACAAGGAGGCTTTTTGAAGAACAATTTTTATTTACTTGTGTTTTCGTTTTTTATTTTTATTTTTATTTTTATTTTTTATTTTTATTTTCTATTTTATTTTATTTTACTTTTTTTTTGCATTCTGCGTTCTCAATTGATCTGCACACTTCAAAAAGAAAGTGAAATAATTTTTATTTTGGATTGAAAAATATATAGGTATCCACCTTTTAGTAGTGATCTGATGTAGCGCAGCGTCGAACAAAAGGGAACAAAGAGATGAAATCTCCCAAACAGTAATTTTATTTCACGATAAACTGATTTTCATAAGAGAGAAGAAGGGAATAAATAGTCTCCAAATCCTAGGTTTCCTAAACATCCTAAATAAGGGAATAATACTTAAATAAATATTAAATAAAACATGGAATAATAATAAAAGCTAGGAAATAATTAACTAGACTAAAGAAGACATCCGGTCGTATTTCTGCATAAACGCCAATGCGATCTCGTCTTCATCATCCTCCCTCGGTTGGGAAGGATTCGCTCACGAATCCGGATCGATCTCGTCTTCGTCCGAATTATCACCCGCAAATGGCACGAGATGCTTAACATTGAACACATCAGAGGTCCTCAAGTGCAAAGGAAGCCGGAGGCGATAGGCATTTGGATTGATCTTCTCAATGATCTCAACCGGGCCAATCTTACGAGCCGATAACTTGTTGCAGTCATGCGCCGAGAAACGGTCCTTGGTGAGGACAGCCCACACAAAATCCCCGACCTCGAACTCGACGTGACGGCGACGGGAATCCACACGCCGCTTATACGCCGCCGTGACCTCCACCAGACGCGCCCGGGCTGCTTTCTGAGTCCGCCGGAGATGGACCATGAAGTCCTCGGCACGGCGGTATGCGCTCTCGGACAAAGGAAGGGCGATGAGGTCTGCGGCCCCCCGTGGCCGCGCCGCGTAGACCACCTCAAAAGGAGAGAACCCGGTAGCTCGACTCAAAGCCGAATTGTGAGCAAACTCGGCCTGGCCCAACTTCTGATCCCAACTACGTAAGTTCTCCCCCACGAGACAACGAAACGAGTTCCCGAGGGAACGATTCACGACCTCTGTCTGCCCGTCAGTCTGTGGATGGTAAGCACTACTGAATTCCAATTTCGTGTCAGCCAAGCGCCATAAACTACGCCAAAAATGGCTAAGAAAGCGCGTGTCGCGGTCCGAAACAATAGAAGTGGGAAGACTATGCAAACGATACACCTCACGAAAGAAAAGTTGAGCCACATGGACGGCATCAGCCGTTCTTTGCACGGAATGAAATGGACCATCTTCGAAAAGCGATCGACCACCACAAAGATAGAGTCGTGACCCCGCTGAGTCCGGGGCAGACCCAACACGAAGTCCATGCTAATGGCACTCCACGGACGAGAGGGAATAGGCAATGGCTGGTAAAGCCCGACGTTAGAAGCCACGCCCTTGGACACCTGACAAACACGACACCGCTCTACAAAACGAGAAACATCACGACGTAAAGAAGGCCAGAAAAAGGAACGACGTACCAAGGCGATGGAGCGATCACGCCCCACGTGCCCAACGCCATGCAAATCAGCCACAACCTTAAGGCGAAGGCTACAAGCAGGAACACACAACTGAACCCCACGAAACAAAAAACCAT